ACTACTACTACTACTACTACTACTACTACTACTACTACTACTACTACTACTACTACTACTACTACTACTACTACTACTACTACTACTACTACTACTACTACTACTACTACTACTACTACTACTACTACTACTACTACTATAATAATAGAGATACTCTACTCCTATTACTTTAAAAGAATCTACTAAGGAGTAAACCCTAAGGTATTATAGGAAGTCTACTATGTCCTACAAAGCAGTATATAATCCACCTAATAATACTTATAATGTCCCCTTTATTATATAGTAGCCTACTGTAACTCTTAGCCTCCTTTATTCTAATTATTAAATAAATATAACCCTTACCATTGTATAGATTATGTATAAGGATTCAGAACTTATTAGTATCTTAATTCGAGATTAAGGATTCTGCTACCTTCTATCGGTCTCTATACCTTAGTCCGGATTAGTATACTCTAGGAAGTATTATATAGTTAACTCTAGAAGTGTCTAGAGCCTGCTCTAGGATTACTTATATATATAACCGCCAAGTGTAATGTAGTCGTTATAATTTACGTAAGCGTTAGATATATCGTAATTATTAGATATATCGTAATTATTAGATATAACGTAACCGCTAGATATAACGTAAGCGTAAGATATTACGTAGCCGCTAGATATTATGTAATTGCTAGATGTTACGTAGCGTAAGATGTTACATAGCCGTTAGATGTTGTATAGCTATATCTCTTAGCTAGAAGTTTCTAGAGAAGTAGGGACTTCCTCTAGAGATATTTATATCTATTGCTAGATTTAATATCCTGCTACGCTTCTAATTTATTTATCCTTATATACTTATAGAGCGTAACTATAGAAGCTATACTAGAAGAGCTAAAAGAAGAGGGGAAAAGGGAGCTCCTCCTTAAAATTAGGAGCTAGGAGCTAAAGGAGTATTCACTAAAGAATAGCCAGCCTAAGGCTAAGAAGATTATAGATAGAGAGCTTATATATACTAATATAGTCGTTAAGAAAAACTTCAGTATATTTGCTCTTATTAGCAAAGGATATACTTAGTACTATAGAATAGTTAGTAGAGACCTCCTAGAAGGCCTCGGATTACTATATATTGGTGATAAAGAGAGGAAAACTTAAAGAGTATCTAAAAGAATAAAAAAACTCGGAAGGGAACTAGAGTTATCGTATTCTATATAGAAATTAACAGATATTATAAGAATATCTATATACGTCTAGATTTTCCACTAATATTAGGAGAAATATAGAACAAGGCTAGGACTATACCTGAAAAAACCGGTTCTGTTTACGGCGCAAAGGGCGCCGATACTATCAGGGAATTTATGATAGTAGCTGCTATTTTACACAAAGATATTGAGATACCTTTAAAGAATAAACACCCTTCTATAATAGAAGAGGCAAAGAGAATAATACTTCTAGAGCTTGATAATATACTTCCGCTATTTTTCGAATAGGAAGTAGATAAGCTAGCCCTATATAGAGAACGAATTAACAATAAAACTCAAATCCGGACAAAACTAGATAAACCTACTTATGATTTATTTTAAGGTCCGATATATCGCTAGTATACTAGTACGCCAGTATGCTAGTACACTAGTACACTAGTAAGGTAGCGTATATATAGAGGAACTATTTAAGAACTTATTATATATAGCAAATAAGGCAATTACGCTACAGTACTATAATAATCTAAGAGCTAACAGACTATAACCTAGCTAGGTAATACTTACTATATAACTGGACACTACTAGAACGCAACAGAATATCCGTACCTATACCCTAGCCTAATCGGTACCTTAAGTTACAACGCAACGCCGCTACTATTAGGCTGTATATATACTTACTACTAGCTAGGCTGTCCTAATAAGTAACAAATAATTACAAGTATAGCCTTACTAACAATAACCGGTAAGGCCTTAATTTAAGTACCTACTATTGTTAAGTATAGGTACTAGCTATAGTTACTATACTAACATCTACTTAGCCAAGCCCGAGAGTTAAGGGGGAGGACAAACTGAAAGGATACCGGAAGCTGACTAAGCGTCGGCGCGGATCAACTATAGTCTGCGGCTAACCTTACCTAAATACTATATATATATATATCAACTATCTATACATATTACCGTTCCAAATAGTATAATCTACTACTTTATGACCGACCCTCCGCTATATTAGTCTTAACTGTATTATATAACACTAAGAGCTATTAGATTACTAAGTAGTACTATAAGGAGTACTATAAGGAGTACTATAAGGAGTACTATAAGGAGTACTATAAGGAGTACTATAAATAATACTATAAATAATACTATGCCTATAACTACAACTACGTCCGCGGCCGTAGCTCTATACTAGTTTAGTACTAATATATGTCTTAATCTCGGCTGTTTCTGCGGTCTTAATCTCGGCTGTACCTAGTACATATGCCTTAATAGCCCGTTACTAACCCGCAAATTCCGAGCGCAACGTAGTAGTAATAGCTCTCTCGGCCGCTACTACGTTGTTATAAGCTACCTCCGCGCTCGTTATAAGCCTATTAGTCGTCTTAGTACTACGCTTCAGTAGGTTTGGTAGCTATAGATACTAAGCCGGTTTTATAAGACCTACGAATAGAATAGCCTTATGCCTTGAATAATCGAGTTAAGTACTCTATAGGCCTATTAAATAGACAGCTTCGAAGGCTTTGAGCTTGTCTAGTAACGCTTATAGTTAAGTTTAAGTTCTTATAGTAATAGCTATTAGTATATAGTGTTATATAACTCGTTTGTAAGGCGATACTACGCGGCCTAGGCTATAGCTTTACTAAAGCTAGGTATATATATCTTGTAGATAGAATAAACAGAGGAATTTAGCGCTACTTTGTATAAATAATCGAGTAAATTGATAGTAAGTTACTATTACTTAACCGGGGTACCTTGCCTAACCTATACGTAGCTTAACCGATAGTTCTAACTATAACCCTTGTATTGTATATTTTCGCGTTACGTATATATAGAGTAAGTAATTCACCGTCGCTAATATTACCTATATAATTGTCAAATCCGTCGGTATTCTTAGTAGTCCTACTGTAGTAAATATACTTATATATCATACAGCTTATATTACTAGGCGTATAGATAATAGCAAATCCTTTACTAAACGCGTAGTCTTGTAGTCTCGCCTTGTAACAGTTATAATAACATAGATCTATTATATTAATAACCTTAGCATCTCGGCGAGCAGTAAATACAGAATCTATACTAGATATAGCCGAGGCGCCGGCAGTTCTATATAGAAAACGGACGGTAGGTATATCTTAACCTTCTTACCGCTACGTCCTTTATCAACGGCAGAAGCTATCGATTCCTAGGGTGCCGGCTACTACTATAAGGTAGGATGTTTAGGCAATAAGAACGCAGACGCGGACGCGGACATAGATGTAATACTAGCGTTGTTGTCGATCGTAATATCAACTATAGTATCGTCGATTATAATAGTATTAGAGGTATGCTTGCCTTAGTATAGCTATAGCTATAGACTAATCGGATCGTCCGGCGTAGGTAGCTTATTAAGTATAGCAGTATTATTTTACGCTAGATCGTAACTATCCTTGTCTTAATTAGTTAATATAGTTAGTACTAGCTCTTCTAATAGCCTAATACGGCGGAAGCCGTTCGGTAGTATAGTAAATAGTAAAGATAGGTCTAGAAGCCGGTCGGTTATATTAGTATCGGTATCGTCGACGAATAGGCTATTATTCGGGCTATTTAGATCGTTCGTAGCTGTCGTTTCGTAGTTCGTTATAGTACTTAATTAAATTAAGAGCCGTATCTCGCGCATTTGTAGTCCGAATCTAGTAATATTGCAGTATAATATTAGTATAAGTATATAGAAACGATTTAAGAGAGATATATATATATATCGGTACGTCTAGTAAAGATATTAGTATCGGTATTCGTATCGGTAAGATCGTAAGAAAAGTCTTCTTAGGAAGTAAGGTTAACTAAGGATCCGCGCCGAGTATAACTTATAGTATTAACTTATTCCGGTGTCTTTTTAGATTGTCCTTCCCCTTGACTCTTAGTAGCCGAGCAATTAGGGCTCTCTAAACACTATTAGCGAAAATTATAAACCGCTAATTGATCAATACTACAAATGCTTACTTACTATATCGCTTCTTATCGATTGTAATACTATTCGGCTTCTATTACCCCTTAACACTTAAAGCCTTTCTCTCTTACCTTATTAACCTACTAAATTTATAGTATGCCGCAACTACGTACTCTATCTTACTAACATCCTACGATACTAATTAAGTAAGAGGTAGTCGTTTACTCTATACTTGTAGGACGCTCGCTAGCAAAGGGATGATCGGTATATAAGGTACCTTCCTATATAAACGTATCTATTTAGCTAGTATGTTCCCTTCTCTCCTACTTACCTCTTTGTAGCAAGTACTTAATACTTAAACAACGCCTCGTTTCTATCTTATATAGACCTGTTACACTAGTATAGATTTGAAGTATAGGTAGGTCCGACTATCTACTAGTATATTTCAGGCTATACAAAGCAGTATTTAGATAAAATACTTTATACTTCTGCCTGTTTATTTTAAAAGTTTTCTATTGTTTGGGGGTTTTTATATATAGCGGGCGCTGTTTTTATATATAGCGGGCGCCCCGGCGCCAAGACTGTAGCCTCAGGCCGAAACTTCCGAGATCTTTAACTTCTTAAACATATCGCAGTTTCTATACATATATACCTATACATATACCTATACCTATACCTATACCTATACCTATACCTATACCGACGTATACGTACACGTATACGTATACGCATATAGGGAGTTACGTGTATATCGCTATACTACTAAGTATAATACGACACTAATAGCAATAGCTACTGTATGCTAGCGACAATACGATCTCAAGCGATAGTACTCTCGGTATAATCCGAGCCAATTAGAAGACCGACAAAGGTATACAATAGTAGTAGGTAATAGCTAAGAGCGCGGAAATAGTAGAATTGGCGGTAATTCGACGCCTAACAGAAATGGTAGAATTAGCGGTAATTCGACGCCTAACGGAAATAGTAGAATTGGCGGTAATTCGACGCCTAACAGAAATGGTAGAATTAGCGGTAATTCGACGCCTAACGGAAATAGTAGAATTGGCGGTAATTCGACGCCTAACGACGACGATGCCTACGACAATAACGACTCTAGCGACGCAGTTACCGAGGACGAGGATACCTTATATAGTCTACGCTATAAGATCCCTAAGCCCCGTCGCTAGCAGTTTCCTAATAAGCCCTCGGCATATATATACCTTGTCGCTTATAGTAGTCGCTATAGCGTTGTTTAGATAAAGAATAGCGGCTACAAATACTTTACTAGTACAGACAAGGTAAGGAAATATATAGTTAAGTATACTAGAGGCAACCGCCTGAACAAGCTCGTTAAAGAGCGTACTAGATAATTATTATAGAAGAAGTAGTATACCTAGAAGAATAGCTATCGTACGATAGTACAGGTTTCAGCTATCAATAAAGATAATACTAAGAGTAAGTAGTTATTTAGCCTTAGAAAGGCAGAGAAGTACAACTACCTTAGTATTAATCCTATAGGGCTGCTATTCTATCGTCGCTAACAGTACGGTAAGCGCTTTCGCGAATTCCTCCGAACGTACTATAAAACTAGTATCTCTCCGGCACAAACGCGCGCTATAGCTAAGGTAGAGTTCGTTACTAAAGCAGGCCTTACTAGTATAGCCGTAGCGCTAGTCCTTCGAGACATATATAATAAGTTTACTAAGATCTACTACGAGCTAATTAGTACTAATACTCCGGTCGATTAAATACTATTACTTCTCGACGAAGAGGGCTTCTTCTATAGCTATAAGTATAAAAATAGTAGGCTCGAATGTATATTCTTCGTATACCTAGAGCTTATTCAACTCTATAAGGACAACGCTAAAGTCCTTATCTACGACTATACCTATAATATAGTAAAGTCTAAGCTACTACTCTTATACTTTAACTTCGTCTTACGGCTTAGAACTATACTTCTACTTACGTATATACTTATACTAGATAAGATATACGAGGGGTACGTATAGGCATTTCAATAACTATAGCTCCTATTCGAATAGTATAATATCGATAACCTAGAGGTATTTATATATAATAGGGACAGAGCAGCTATTAATACGCTTACAAAGGTGTTTCTAGGTACTAATACTATACTCTATACTTAGTATATAGATATAGTAGTTAGGGCCTACGCAGCGAAGACGTTCGGTTAGTAGAAGAATAAAGAGACAAATCGATTCGTACTAAGCGAGCTTGCCGAAGAATTCCTCGCTCTCTATAGAAACTGCCGCTATATAGTCTTTAAGGAGGCATTTAACGATATATATACTACCCTTAACGAGCGCGCGAAGTACGGCGAGACATACTACGACAGCGACAATAGCGACGATAATAAGTACTATAATACTGTATCTAGAGCTACCTTTATAGCTACCGAGACGGATATAGAATTAGAAGAAGAGCTAGATATAATTATACGACTACTCGACAATCCTACTATACCTACTACAATAGTTAAGGATACGCTAGATCGTTAGTAGAAGATTGTACGATATCTATAGACTGCTTAGTAGGTTTATAAGGAAAAGTGTATAAAGGTATAGACAAACAAACTACGATATTTCGGTATTAATACTTCCTCTAGTAGTAAGAGTACTTATAAAGGCCTAAAGGTATAGACGACATCGTCGCGCAACGATATACTTACGTTCTTTATAAAGCTCGTACTATTTTACGACGCGTACCTAGATCGCGAAAAGGCTAAGTTAGCTAAAGCACAGAATACTACGTCTACGGCTTTCGTATATAAGGAGTACTATTATAAGATTAACACTATAGTAGAGACTAGAGGGCTCTACTATATTTAGAAATAGAGGGAGAAACTTCAGGCAGAGCTTGAATATATTAGAAGTAAGAGGAACTATATACGTAGTCCCTATACTAGTATATTTACGCGGACAATAGGTATAGACTACTCTTATAAGCTAGAGGGCAAAGAGTACCTTACAACAGAGTTATTAGATAAGTTCTAGATTATTCTAGGCACTTATAATACTAGATATAGCCCGGCAATACGGCTACTCGAGCTAGCGATACGTCTACGTAAGCGAGTAGCGCGTCTTATCCGCTCTTACCAAGCTGGTACTAGCGCTTTATCTAATAGACGAGATCCGACAGGTACAGAGCGTAATAATCTAAATAACCGTACAATACTAATAGGGGAAACTTCCGAGACTACGTAGCTCGCGCGGCGTAATAGCGAGCTACAAGTGCCTATCTACTACTAACCGAATCGCCGTATCGTAGCGCTAGATAGTATAAAGTATTGTTAGTATAGTATAGGTTATATATACGGCAAGTATATCTGCCTTCGTAATAAGCAACCCTATAACGAGCGCTACAAGTATAAACTACCTTATAGCGGCTACGAGAACGTCTATAGTATAGCGACTAAACGACCGGCGACCGTACCGGCTATACTAGTAGCATCTCGCCGAGCGCCGTAATCAAACCGCGCAGTTCATGAATATAATAATATTCTCGAACTACTATAATCCGGTTAGACAAAGCCGGAGGCTAATAGAAAGAGGACTTACTATTCGGAGAAAAGGGGCAGGGTAGTAGTAGTAGCGGAGGAGAAGGAGGAGGATAGCGGCGGAAGGCGGGGGGCCTACGAGATAGTAGGTTAAAGAAGAAGAGAGGGTTTTTTATAAAGAGAAGCGCTCTCCTATAGTAGGGAGAACAATAGTAGCTTAATCCGGCTATAGACAATAGGAAAAGTAAAGCTACGCGAAAGCTACTATTTTCTACGCGTACCCCTATCGCGATCGTAAAGAGGAGGAGGTATATCTACAAGATAAAGGCCATTATGGTCATAGTGCACCAAAATTATAGTTATAGTGCACCCCGCTGCCTCAGGCCACAACTTTCTAGAACGTTACTTTCGTATATATCGATTTCTTCCTTCTCTTACTTAGTACTATATCAAAAATTAATATATTAATACGCTAATACCGCGCTGCAGTTCAATACTCTACGCAATAGTTATAGGCAGTGATATTAATAATACTGATATATTAGACGCCGCTGTGCGCTTACTAGCAGTAGAAGATTTAACAGAAGAGGATAAGTATCTTTTTCGTTCTAAAAGCACTACCAACGTACTATACGCCAATAGTATTGACGACGACGACGATAATAATAATAATAAGGAGGAAAAGGATAGGGATTAGAGCAAGCGCGCCGACTACGACAGACGCGAATAGTTAGATATAGTAAACTATCGGCGGCGATTCCGTAATAAGGAAGTATACGAGTTCCTTTCTAACGCACAGAATAGCGGTATAGAGCCTAAGCGCGTTTGCTCTATAGCCTTTAAGTAGTTCTGCGGTCTATTATATTCTAAGAACCTAGTAATTATATAGGATATCTATAACGAGTACGCGCGCGTCAAGGCTAGCGATATAGTCTTTATTACGCCTATAGAGCGTACTATTCAGATACTGGATAAGGACTATTTCTACGACTTTCTAGAGGATAGGAGTACGCTTATATACCTCTTCTTTACGTATAAGGATAATAGCAGCTCGCGTATAGTACTAGATGTTACTTATCGTACTAATAAGTATAATCTGCCTATTATAGTTTTTGTAGTAGTTACTACTATTAGTATCTGTATACTAGTAGTACTTATATATATCGAGAATATGTAAGAGACGGACTTTAAGTAGCTTCTACGGATATTCCTTAACCTTATAGAAACTAACGATATTTAGCTACCTACTGTATTCTTCTATAATCGCGACTAAGCTCTGATTAGGGCCCTAAAGACTGTCTTTCTATCTATACTAACTATACTCTGTTTATAGTATATACGTAGGGATGTTAAGGCCTAGGCTATGTCTGTTATTAGCTATAAACCGGATAAGACGATAGGTAAGAATAGACTTACCTTAGAAGGCAAAGAATTTATAACCTTCTATAACGATATTATTAATATACTAAGGGAGGTAGAGTATATAGATGCCTATTAGAAGCTTCGAGAGTACGGTAATAAGGAGGTTGTAATATATAACGACGATCGGTAGCAAGTTATAGAGCGCTACCTATAGAATATATAGTATAAGTTATATAAGAAGAAGTAAGTAAAGGCGTAGACTGACCGGATTCTATACTATAGTATAAGTACTATATCTCCGGGTAAGTCTGCCTATACGTATCTCAAAGGATAGATTGTCTCTATATATAGCGATATTCTTATATTCCTATACAAGATAGTACTATTTATAGAGTACTATATTGCGTACTATAATATAAAGGTCGGATAGGCTCGCAACCGCGCTGCTATAGCATTTATTACTAGCGTAGGCTACCGTTTCTATATATAGCTTATCCGTATCGTACCTATAAAGCGATTACTTAAGCTACGTAAGCAGAAGGAACTCTTAGAGATATAGCGTAAGAAGGAGTATACAGACGACGAGTAGTAGACATAAGAGATGCTATATACTTATACGTTACGGCCGTAGGTAAACAGGAGCAACCTAGAACAACTTACTGCGACAAATAGCAATTTTAGGCAAAGTAACTTAATTCCGTAGCTAACATACTTTATAATCGACTAAGGTAGGCGCCTATAGGAGTTTCGAGTACGTCCGCGTAGACGACACTATATAGCTATAGCTTATAGTACTAGTACTAGTTTAATAGGTACTCGGCGCGAAGCTATACGTATAGAGCGACTAGATCTAGCATATCTAGCAGAAGTACCTTTTATAGTAGCTGCTAATACAGCTCGGACGCTAGTAATTAACTTATCTAGTAAGACTCTAGCAATTAACTTATCTAGTAAGACTCTATCAAATAACTAGCTTATACGCCGTAACAATATACTACTACCGAAGCGTAGACGACCGAATAGACCGAGCTATCTATCTAGTACTTAAAGGTACAACTATATAGCTAGTTATATACGGAATTGTCTATATTGTAGAGCTGTAAATAGTATAGGCAGAGCGTATATAGGCTTTACTTATTCAAGAAACAGCCGAATTGCTAGAGGAAATACGTATATTATAGGCAGAGAATACTACTA